AACATTTTTATTTTTTAATTTTGGATCTAAATATTCTGTAAAGAAACCATTCAGATCTTCTTCTAAATATTTTAATTCATATTCTGTTGCATTTTTTAGATCAATAAAATTTTATATAATATTTGGGTTTAAATTTATTAAAGATTTTGATCTATATTTCTTTGAGGACCTAATTGAAGGTTTTTATACATTGTAGTGGGTTTGGTTGCAATTTCACAATAAGGGGTATTTTTGGAAAATATATTGTTTAAAGGCTATTCTTCAAATATTTATATTTTTTGGTCTAATCTTACAAAATTCCCTTTTATTTAAGCTATTTAAAGGTATTTCCTCCCAAAACCAAAACAACTTCCACCCGGCCGTCGAAGTCATCTCCGGCACCACCACCTCAACGTCGGCCCAACGCCGCCTCAAAATCAAGCAACACCACCACCATCGATTTTTGGTTCATCTACAAATATGTATACAGGTATGGTGACTGTGTTTGTTTCTTATGTTTTTCAGTTTTAAGGCCAATCGTTCTCAAAGTGATGGTGATCAAGCTGTGTCCCTGAATTTCAAGGATTTTGATACAGAAGAAGGGAATTTAGACGGCTCTGTTTCTTTGGAAAGTGCCATCATTGCAAACGCTAGTAAGTATCAATAAACTATAAAATTTGAAATGTTTTTGTTAGTACTAATCATCAACAAATTCTTGATAGTGAATTTTTGCAAAATCGAAAATTTTTAGAGGTGCAGTCACAATTCGATTGTGGTGGTGATGCTTGATTTTGAGGCGACATTGGGCCGACGTTGAGGTAGGGGTGCCGGAGATGGCTTCGACGGCTGGGTGGAAGTTGTTTTGGTCTTGGGTGAGCTGGTGAGGGGGTTGGGGAAGGAGGAGTGGGGTGGGTGGTGGTAGTTTTGTTTTTGGCTTTTCTAATTTTTAATTTAATAGGGGAAATGAATTATATATAGAATGCCCTTATCTTATTTTAGTGAAATAATTAATTTTTTTAATTTTTGGGGTCAAATTGACGATTTTTGTGATCAAACAGACGGAAACCGCCATTTTGGATTGACCCTGCGAATTTTAAAGGTTTGGCATCTACGATAGCACAAATAAAAGGTTTGGATCAAATTTGCTAAAGAACGAAAGATTTGGTACCTCGACTGCAATTTTCCTATATTATTTTGTTGAATTAAGTGTCAAAATTTAACAATTGTCCTGATGATCAAACTTTCATCCTAACAAGAGCTCACAGGTTCGAATCCCCTTCGGTATCCTCCTTATTGCATAAATTTTGGTAAAAATTATAAAATTAAAAATATTGCAAAATAAATTGGTTGGTACGGGATTCGAACCAATATGTATATGCAAGCTCTAACCAACTTAGCTAAATAAAAATATTGAAATTAAAACGGATAGCTAGTAATGTAAGCTTTTTTAGCTTATCTATTGTCAACAAAAAAATTACTCTGAGCAGAACGTGTACGTGCAGTCACGAGTGCTCGCCAAATGTTGAATCTGTCACTGTCTCACCCTCAAGTCATCCATCTAATTCAATACCACCCTCAGTCCCCACGCCCAATTCAATATCAAAAAAGTAAAGGTTTGTGACTATGAATGACACAAATAAAATGTTTAAGTGAAGTCTGCGATAAAATGAAAGATTTGATACCATGACTCTAATTCTCCTGAATTCTATAGAATTTATTAGCTCTTCCACAATGTTAGAGACATTAATATCAAAGAACAAAAGTCGAGAATAATAGTACAAAAGAAAACAAATTAAGATTTAAAGAGTAATGCTGTTTCCAGCACTGGTTTTTAACACCAGATAACATGACTTGTGTCATTAAATTACATATTCAATTAAACAGAATATTTTAAAACTCATTTATTATGACCTATCACATACTCACACCAGACTGGTGTTCTAGCTCCATTAGTTTTAGGTAGCATTACTAAGATTTAAAGCAACCGCTATAATTCAACTTAAAAAGGTGTGAATAGTTGAACAAATGTCTTGTGCTGGGAAAATCAAGAACCTTCAAAAACCACCAAAATTCAACAACTTTATATTATCATGGTACTTAAATATTAGCTCATGTTTGGTGGGAATAAATTAGATTTTTTAACAAAATTTAATATATGTTAATGAAATATATGACTTAAAATTAAAAAGTAAAAAATTCGAATTAAATCAAGATTTTATATTTTTGATATTAGAACTGAGAATCGGATCGAAATCGATCGACTCTGAATTTTAATATTAAGAATCGATTAAAAATTGAGTAGAGTCGGGCAAACAATCGGCCGACTGCCTGCTTCTAATTTAGTCCTAGTTCCGATAATTTATGTCCATCTATATGCGTATTCCCTCAATTAAGGTTTAGAAAAATGTAGTGAGACAAAATATGTGTATATGATCAGAGAGAATGATGTGCCGTTTATTTTATTTTTTTAATCGACGCAAGGGCCTCTTATAATTAAATGTGATATTGACCCACGGAAAATTCAGCTACCAATGTTTGGTTATTTATTCGTTGTCACTTAATTATCTTCATAAAATAAATTGACTTGTTAAGTCGTCCCTCGTTGACGTCACTTAAATGACGTCATTTAACAGTTTTTTCTTTTGTTTAATTTCTTTTAATTAAAAATAATTGCATATAAGTCTTTTTAAATAGAAAACTGACTTGTTACGTGACGAATGGATGAAATATTTTCTTATGGGTCACGTTGTTAATTGCTCTAGATCAATTTATTAAACACTAATAAGTTGATGGACTAATAGAGGATTTTCAATTTAAAAATAAAAGATTTGTCCCACTCATACCCCTCTCTAGCCTTTCACGTGTATAAAAGGCGATCAATGGCTTCCATTTTCCTTCACAGCACTAAAAAAGCACGCACATTACTCCATAATTTATTCTCCAAAAAATATGGCTATGCGCATTCACAGTCTACCATACGTTATACAAATTCTCACTCGAATCATTGCTAGTTTAGTCATTATGTTGCTCATGTCTACTGTTCATGGCCGAATTCTAAGTCTCAACTCCTCTGATGATTTAATCTCAGATGGAATTGATGGTGTTGATGATCAATCTGTAGCTCTTACTGCAAATGATGTTCTCGTGTCCGCAAGCGCTTGCCATCACACATATGGTTTCCTACCATGTGCAGAAAATGCTGGAGGATACATTTTCCAAATACTGGTCTATCAAGGTCTACTAATATTTGGAGAAATGCAGCTGGGCACTGGGAGCAAGAATTTCTTTAATATCCTGGAAAATTATTTTGGCACGAGCAAATTTGTTAGTATCATTTTTCGAATCCTCATGGAGTTACCAGCAATGATGATGATGATTTG